CCAAATTGCAAGTGCGTGACTTTCAAAAGCTTGGACACTCAACTTCGTGAAGTTTTATAAACTTGACCCTCACGGCCCGCAATTTGGGACGCGGGCTTTAACGAACAAAATTTGAATGCGAACTAACTTGGGTCAAACCGACTTGAACGGATGCACTAGTCAGAGCAAACTTATCTGGTTCAGTTGAACTGGCTTGAATCGATGACGATATACCTGGGTACTCGTCGATGGTGCAGCTTAGGAAAGGGCTACAGGCTCGTTAGCTTGGAGGATTATGGGCGCACCGACCAGCTGCTTAACAAGCATTTTTATCTCAGTGGTGTAGTGGTTGGGATTCTGACATTGTATCGGAGCGAAGGTCTCGGATTCAAAAACCCCATGTGCGCACATGCTGGCGTTGCTGCTGTGCCGTGTCCTATGGCATCTCTGTGAAAGAGGGGGGGGTCAAAAGACCTGTATTGAAAATGCATGATTTTGATCATAGGAGAAGGGTTACAGGATCGGTAGCCTGAAGGTTATGGGTGCACTGACCCGTTACTTAACAAGTCATTTTATCCCAGTGGTCTAGTGGCTGAGATTCTGACATAGTATCAGGGTTTCAAGTGCGCTGCCTTGCTTTTCAGAACAAGGCAAATTTTGTTGTCACTACGTCTTCCCAGATGGACCAAAAGTCGAACCTGAACTGGTTGGGCCGAAGCATGAGAACAGGGCCCGAGGTTCGACTATTCGTGTCACACAGGTTTCGTTCAGTTTGCTGACATCCTATATTCAACATCCTTCCCTTCTCCCTCCTCCCCACCTCTCAATTCCCCCTAGTGTCTTTTTCATGATGATTCGCCTTCTCAAGGTGATGGACTTCCAGCCTTACCCTCGGGGTCATCACTCGCTCCCTCAGCCTCGCCACGCCCTCGCTGCTCCACTTCTTCCTGCTCTCTTTTGCCGTCTTCTTCTGCTTCAGCAATGTACGGTTACCTCGTCTTTGGAGGCGCTCTCGAAATGGTATGTGTCTCACTCATTATTACCTTTTTGATTGCCAAGCCTGCATTTTTCTTTATGTATTTCTCCCATTTTTGCGTCTTATACCCAAACAATCTGCCCCACTCCCGCTCCTCCCACTCTTTGCAGTTCTCCACGGTGCTAGAGTCCATGTTCTCGTGCTTCCTCCTTCTCCTCAACGACAACTCCTCCGCCTATTTCTTCCAGCGCCTTGAGTCGTGGGACCTTATAGCGGCAATGCTCTTCTTCATGTTCATCGTCTTCATGGTCTTCATCCTCCTCAACTTCCTCAATCGCCATCATCGTCGATGCATTCATGAGCGTCAGGACAGCAACCTTGTCGCCACCTCTATAACCTCTGACCTGGGACACATCATTAAGTACAAGTGGAACTGTTGGCGCGGCCGCTACTTGCGATATCCCGTCATTCTCGACCGCCTTGTGGAGTTGGGAGCTAAGGACACGCGAGTGGAAGAGGTGAGAGATGGGCACAAGCTCATACTCGTTGCCACCTTGGTATGACAATCTCTTTCTCCAATCATCTATTTCTTGTTTCGTAGAGGCACTTCGGGTCTGTATGCTCGCGGTTGTTGCTGCTGAGTTATTTCATAATCCAATGCTTCCACCAAGAGCCTCTCTTTAATTTAATTCGTGTGTGCGTTGCAGTCAAATCGTCGGATGCGCCGCATGCAGTCGTTAAAGCGGCACACACGAGCCAGCCTTCTCCTGCGGCTGTGGCGGCGGCTGCAGGTCCTCACACTTCGGTCGGGGGAACAAACAACCTGCCTCTCCGCCTGACAGCGAGTCGCGGGTGGCGGCGGCAGCACGTGCTGACAGTGAGGGAGAAGCGCATCGACGCCATCTCGCTCGCCATGATCCTGCAGCGCCGCCACGACAGGGAGGTGCGTCCCTTGCTGCCATGGATGCTGGAATGAGTACTCGGGCATGCCATGTGGTTGTGCCAGGGTATGTTGTGCCATGCGTTGTGGCTGCAGCGCCGCCAGGGCAGGGAGGTGCGTCCTTGCTGGCGTGGTTGTAGAAATGACTTCTGGCATGCCATGTGGTTGTGCTATGGCTTATGTTGTTCCATGTGTTGTTCCGTTGTTTTAATCCATGTATTGTGCCCTGCATATTCAGTGAATGCGATGTGCTGGCTTCTATGCATGACTTTTCACATTAATCTGCTCTTCCCATGTTTCACAATCTGTTTCAGCAAGGCGAGCCCCACACGGCTGACATTATGTCCAAGTGTTGGTCAAATGCGAGCGCAAATGAGGGAGAGGGTGTGGACGAGGAGGGGCTGGAGCAGCTGTCGCAGGCGGTGGTGCTGCAGTGGCGGCGAGGTGGTGAAGCAGTCCGCCCTGCCCGTCAAGAAGCCCGTTCAGAAGCTCAACCTGGCGCACATCAAGGTGCGCAAGGAATGCGGTGATTGGTGTGTTGGGAACAAAGCTTAGAGGGGGTGTGTGCGGATACAGTGGGCGTTAGTGTCATCGGTTCCCAATGGCTGAGACTTGGCAAGAGCCTGCAAGCAGCCATTCAGCCGTGAAATCTCTGCATGCGTGCACAGCATCCCCACCCAACCCCACCTCCTCTCCACCCTGTGTGTGTGTAAGAGCAGGAGGATTTGGCGTGCAGCCGGGCAGAGGTGAAGGAGCTGAGGGGCATGATGGCGGACATGCAAGCGCTCATGCTTGACCTCCTCGCCCGCACGCCCCCCACGGGAAGCGCTGCCCACGCAATAGGTGCTCCCAGGGTGCCGGTCAGCGGCTCCAAGCATGCGGCGAGCACACACAGAGCCCTCGCCTCTCTGTGCCCTCCTCACGGACTCCCCGCAGCCACTGGAGCAAGCGGGAAGCAGGAGGGACGTGCCACGGATGTTCAGCCACAGCGGGGCAGGAGGGGGGCAGTGGAGGGGGTGGAGAGAGCGAGGGGCATACGAGATAACCTGAGCATTGCAGGAGGGAGCGCAGGCAGAAGCTTGTTGGCGTCAAAGCAAGGCTCCGAGAGGCGGGTGTCTTTCAAGGAGGGCTCAGTGGCTAATGGGAAGAGCCCTTTGAGGACAGGGGAGGGTTGCCACCAGCAGGAGCCCCTGGTGTGAACATTTTGTGAGTACTAGCAGTCTTGCATCGTAGTGGTGCAGTATACTAACAATCCCATGCTGTCTTTATGTTTCGGTTCTTTTGGACCACCAGCTTGCGTGGGTTGTTTGAGCAAAAAGGTTGTAGGGCCCAAACAACCAAAACATAAAAAACATATATATATATATACAAATATTGGCAGCGCAAATGCCTTGGTGGCAGGGATCGTCATATGGTAGTTGTAATCACTAAGATTCAATGCCTTCATTGAACCTAAAGTCGGCTGGGAGGAAATTCAGGAATTTGTGACGTCGAAACCGAATAACTTATTTTGTCATCCCGTCACGTCCCGTGCTACTCTTCACACTCCCCCTTCCATGTCTCAGCGGTGAGTGCCTGAAGCAGGGATGTTGATAAACGTCGAAACATGAGAGAGCTACCCTGAAACATTTGTCAGGGTTTGGACCGTGAAGTATCCGACGGTACACCTCTCTCGACAGTTCCCAATGCTTGTCGGCATCCCCACTTGAGACACGCTATCTACTTCAGTTTTTGCTCCACCACTCCCCTCCTGACACCCAGCTTCAGTATACCATCCTCTCGTTCAAGATGATGTTTTTTTTCTCAAAAATGTGCGTATCCTTTTTCCACCAACTGCCAAACACGCTCAGAAAGGCGAATCGTTATAACCCTAGGTAGTGTGCGGCCTAACTTGAAGTCTCCAAACCTCAGCGCAGCTAAACTCCGAGCAGCTCTGCTTCTTGCCTCTCGCCGTAGTAGCGATCATGGCGGAGGCGGTCGCAGTGGTGCGCGCGAAGAAGAAGGCGGAGGCGAATGGCGAAAGGGACGGGGCGGTGTTAACGCGGTCGGAGAGTTTGCTGGACGAGAAGTTTGACGCGTATGAGGCGGCCAACTACCGCATGTGGGCTCGATCCAAATCCGACGCCTTTTCCAGGTTAGCCGAGCCATCGCGTTTGACTGTGAAGGCTACGAACGCAGCTTGGTCAGCTGAGAATGATGTTTGCTTGGATGGTTACCTATAGAAGCAGCTTTACGAGTTATTTGTGGTCTTCTCTCTCACGCGTTACTGAATTCTGCCTTGCCAAGTTGTAATTCCCCTTCCGCTCCGCCTATTTCCAACTCTCCCGCCCTCCTCCGCGGATCAAAGGCGCAAGCCTTCGCGCTCTCGCAACCGCAAGAATCACAGATTAGATTTCCTCGATAGCCACGGATTCGCGCCGCAAAACGCGGAGCTCATGACACGTGTCGAAGCAAGCTCGACGTGCAATCCGTCCGCCGTCTCCGAGGGATACGAAGACGAGGAGGAGCAGGATGACGGGAGATTGGGAGGGGATTGCGCAGAGAGCGAAGCGGAGAGGTTGGCAGAGGAAGGGAGAGCTGGCGGAGAGGGCGCGGGGAGTGAGGGAGCGCGGGGCAGCAGCGGCAACAGCAGCAGCAACAGCAGCCACGAGAGCACGGCGGGCGACGAGAAGGGGCTCCGCGGCTTCCTGCGGCAGTGCCGCCCGCGGGCCTGGCGGGCAAGCAGCACGCGCTCCGACGAAAGCTGCGCGGATGGCGCGGAGGGCGCAGAGGGCGTGGAGGGCGCGGAGGTCGGAGAGGGGAAGGCGGCCGCGGCGGGGGCTTTTTTTAAGCGCAGCTTGACGGCGGAGAGCACGACGGGGGAGAGCTTGCCGCGGTCGCCAAGGGACGTGCTGCAGGACGCGGAGATGGACGAGATGGACAGAGAGGTGCTGCAAGGTGCGCCCAGGTTCAGAGCGGTGCTTGACTGCGGGGCCTACGCACCGCCTGGCGTTCCGCGCCGTTCTCGTTTCTCCGGCACGCGCCGCTTCTCCGTCGTCGGCGCCGCCTCCACCCTCGAGCTCGTTGCGTGGGGGTCCTGTGCGGTTGAAGATGACGTGGACGTATCCAACCAGACGCAGCCAGGTGGCGGCGCTGCTGGTGCTGCGCCTGACATTTGTCGTGATGTGAGTATGCAGTCGTGCTGTACACCATACTCAAATATCATCAGGTATTTTCCGGAGAAAAGTGAATGCATGCTTTTACATGTGATGCCCTACTGACTGTATACATGCGTGCGTTGTGCATGTGTGCAGACATGCGAGAGGCTGGTGATCTGTCTACCAGCCACATGCGGGCGAGCATTCACGGAGAGGGAGGTGGCAGGGGCGTTCGTGGACTGTGCGCGCATGTGCATCGTCGCACCCTCCTCCATCACCTCCTACGCCGGCTTTAGCTGCCCCCTGGTGCGTCCATTGATTCCAATACTTGTATGGACCAACTTGGCCTGCCGCATGCACTTCTGCGTGTTGCTGTTCTCTGTGATTCCAGTGGTTATCATGCAGCCACCTGCCCTGCAGTACCTTTCCATGCCAGCACTGCCCCGCTGCGTTTCTTCTTCTGCTTTCCCCCCTTCCTCTTCATCTCCTCACTTGACCCCACTTGTCTTGTTTCTCACCCTCCCCTGCCACACATCTCCCCCTCCGATGCCCTTCACCCACTCTCTCCAGCCGGATATCGCATCATTATTTTCCAACACACCATGCAACGTCTCAGGTATGTATGCACTAGCTAGGTGCATGTGCCAGCACCCCACGCTCGCCTTCCTCACCTCCTTCCATTCCTGCCACATACCAGCCTCCTTCATGTGCACTTCTTCCACTGATTCTACAAGTCTGTCCACTTGATCCCACCTTGCCTCTCCCTGCTCCTCTCCTAATTTTTGTGGGACTGACTGACTGCCTCTCCCCGCCTCGGACGCCGCAACCCCCCTCACTGCACCCACTGTCTGCGTCCCATCCAGGCTCAGACTCAACGGTTCTTCTGTCTGGCAGCAACCGCCGCAAGGTGCTCTTCTCCTCACTCCTTGCCATCCCTCTACGTATCCTTCTCTTGTTTTCTTTCTCGCGGTGTGTTGTTTCCTCTCTCTGAATGCGGTTATTGCTTGCTCGTTGTCACACTCCCCTCCTCACTTCTGCGCTTGCACCTCTGGTTGCCCCACTCGCTTCACAATTTCACACAGCCATGCCATCCAGTCTTTCACAACCTTTCCTTCCTAACCCAACCCACTCCCCAATCCGTGGTGCATGGCTGCTCTCAGGCGCTTTACCGCTTCCACCACTCTCACAGCTACGACCGTTGGCCCGCCTCCACTGCCACTGGCCCCCACGACGCCGATGCTGTTGAAGTGCGCTCTCTTGCTGCCCCTGCCGCCGCCTCTTCTGCTGCCTCTGCCTCTGCTTCTGCCACAGCAGCACTCGCAGAAGCGTACCCGCAGGAAGCACAGAGATTTGAAGTGGCATCAGCACCACCATCACGAGCAGCAGCAGCAGCATCACCATCACCATCACGAGCAGCAGATGTGGCAGCGGAAGGCACAGCCGCCACAGACGCAGACCCTGCAGCGCCCTCCCTCTGGTCGCTCCTGGGCGCCACGGACCAACAGCGACTGACAGTCCTGCAAGTGGCAGCATCGCGCGCTCTCTTCACCATGGCCAAGGACCGCTGCCTCGCCGGCCACGGGCCCGGATCAAAGCGCTCGCACACACTGGGAGGGCCGGGCAGCGTGCGGTGGCACATGGTGGCGTGCCTGTGCACCATGCTGGGAGGGCCTGTGATGACGATGGACGAGTGCCAGCTGTTGAATGCGGAAGGGAAGCAGGTGGTGACGATGGGCGACATGCATGCGTTCCTCACGTACCGCCATGGCGGCCACGTGATCTCCGCGCAGCACATGGTGCGCTTCGTGCAGACGGTGGCATCGGCTGTGAGCTCAGTCACGCCCGTGCCGGACGTGGCAGCGGCCAGCCTCAACGCGCTCATGCACTCCTTCAATGACGCCGTTGTGTCCTCCGATGCTGTCGGCTGCTCACAAGGTGAGTGAGTACAGTGACGCCCGTGCCAGACGTAGCACCTGCACGCCTCAACGCCCTCATGCACTCCTTCAATGACGCCGTTGTCTCTTCGGACGCTGTCGGCTGTTCACAAGGTGAGCTCTGTCATGCCCATGCCAGACGTGGCTGCGGCTCGCCCTTACGCGCTCATGCACTCCTTCAGTGACGCAGTCGTCTCCTTCAATGGTACATGTGCACAGTGCATGTATGGGTTGGTGTATGTCCGATCCGAGTGTTGTCAGTCATTATGACACCTCAGTCGGATCGTATATGGCCGCTGGCAGTTCCCCTCCTTCTGTCTGTCTCCCTTCAGGTGGAGCATGGCTGCAGTGGCGCGCGGGTGTGAAGCACAACACGACCATCCATGTGGGCGACAAGGTCACCTGGGTGTGGGATGACGACCTCCCGCACTCCCTCAAGGGTACGCCCTCCCCTTTTGTAGCTCTACCACCTTCACTTGTGTCACCAACTCTTGTGGCTTTGAGAATTTATCTGTCTTGCTCCCTCTCTACCCCATGATATGTACCTTTTGTCCTTTTTTGCACCACTTATTCCCAACACTCTCTTGCTCCACTCCCACCGCCAACAGTGGCGGGGATGGGAGAGGTGGACGACCCGCTATTCCTGGGCTTCGGAGGGCACCGATTGGCTGTATCGCGCAAGCTGGCCTGCTCGCCCATGAACGTGGGCATCGGGGACGCCTTTGACGAGCCGCTGCCATGCGTGCTGAGTGAGTGGGGGGCGGGGTGTGCTCACTCTCTCCTCGTAGGAACCTTCTCTCCGCCTAACAGGCACGGCATTGTGCGGTCAGATGGCCCGTTTGGCCAGTCCTGAATCATCCAATCCATCTTAGCTGTCCTGTCACATTTACCATCTCACCCTCATGCTGCATCCTTACTCCCCATCCTTACTCCCCATCCTTACTCCCCATCCTTCCTCCCAATGTGCTCCTCTCCTTTCTGGACCTCTCTCCTTCCAACCAGAGATGGACGACGGGTCCCCCGGATCGTTTGCATACAGCAAGGTGTTTGAGGAGCCAATCACCATCCACTACGAGGACGGCACTCTCTCTGTTGACGACTCCTCCTCCTCCTCTTCCACCTCTGCTGCGTCTCTGCTCACTGTGCTGCCTGCACGAGCAGGAGCTGAGGTTGCTGGTGAGCTTTGCATGCCATACCACCACATGCCATACCACACCATATGCCATACCGCGTGTCATGCTGCATATATACCATGTTGCGTGCCATGCTTCATGCCATACGGCATGCCACTCTGCATTTGTGATGTGACTTCCTTCCATGCTTGCTTTCCCTTGTGTTTATTCATCTCTTTCACCCTCACCATTCCCTGTTCTTTCATCCCTACTCCATCCATTCCTCTTACTCATCCCTCCCTCGCATGACAGGCGTTGTGAACGCCACTGAGAGTAGCACTCTCTCGAGCACTGCACGCTTCACTTCCACCAACACCACCACGCCCTCCTCCTCCTCCGTCTCCGCGGCAGTGTACGAGTGCTCGCCAGGGTGTCGCCTGCAGCGGCTGGGCAATGGGGTGTGCGATGGGGCGTGCAACACGCCCGCATGCGCCTTTGACGGCGGCGACTGCGCGTGTGTCGACCCGCTCTTTGGCCCCGGCATCTGCGCCTGCCCGCCCGGCCACACACGCCGCGACGACGGCTGTCAGTCACCCCTCTTCTCCCATCCACTCGCCCCTTTTGCCCCCTGCCTTGCTCTGCCATCCCTTGTCTCCCATTCTAAATTTCCCTTCTACTCGATTTCTGACTTGCACTTTCTTCCAGTCTCTCCGTGACCTCCCATCTCTGCTGATCTCTCCTCCTCATACCCCTCCCTTTACTCTCCTCCACCCTCCCCTTCCCCCTTCCCCAGCCTGTTGCCTGTCCACGGCGGTGGGCGCCAATCTCAACTTCCCCTTCTCACTGCAGCGCTACGGCCCCAACTACACAGAGAGCAACTTCGCCTTTGCTGCTGAGAGGGGTTTTGCTGCCAACCGCCTCGTGTCACACCGTAACCGGTACGGCCCCGTGCCTCCCTGTCTGTCATGCCAACCCTGCCCTGTTGGGCGCCACACTTGTGCAGCGCTTGCCTGCTCTTCCTTGCCCTTCCATGCCTTTCCTACATTTTCAACCACCTTCCCAACACAGCATTCATCTAATCGCGTGCACCGCTCGATTATATATTACACCGTCTTGTACCACTGAGAGAGCCACCACTGTCAACCGTGTAGTCTCGCATCGCAGCCAGAAGGCACCATGCTACACCGCACACTACCGTATTGTTCACCCATCAGAGCCTGCGCTCCGCTCACCACCACAATCAGCTTCTAACCATTCTCTTCCATATCCCCCTTCGTCCTGTCTCTCTACTTTTTCCATGACAGTCTGTTGATTGGCTTGGTGCTGCAGCAGGACCGATGGGGCACGCAGCAGTGCAACGGATCGGGGTGAGTGGCCATGGTTAGTGGGTTGAGTGGTGAATAAGGTGTGACGTTCCAGGCTTTCATGTTGCGTGGCTGATTCTGTCACTGTGAGTGAGTACGGCCACCACTTGCTCTTCCCATCCTCCTTTCCTCACACCTGCACCCTCTCTCTTTCCCTCCCACCAATTCTGCCTCCTCTCTCCCCTCCCTCCCCAGCCTGCTACACCTGGCGGGGTGGTGCAGCAACGGCACGTCCACGGAGCCGTTTGGAGTGAACCCGCACTTCCTGCCCACGTCGGCCATCTACGACAGCGCTGCCAGCGCCAACATGAGCCAGCTTGACAACAACACCCTCAACCCGCAGAACCTCCCCTATGGATTCATCTACCCCGTGGTCAGTCACCCATGGCTCCTTCAAACATTTCTGCTCCGTATAATCTGCCAGTGCAAAGCACTGCCATACGCTATGCGACAGGTGTGAAGAGTTGAGCTGTAACCAGTGTCTGGATGGTGGAGCTCGGATACCGAGTTACAATGGATAAGAAAATGGATTGGGTGGGTTTGGGTGCAACCTCAAAGGTGGGTTGGGTTGTGTTACTGTGAGGTTGTGAGCCATGTATACGAGCATAAAAGCATGAATTTATCAAATCTGTGCAATAGCGGGAAGGTCTTGATGCCATTCTCTTTGATCAAACCTGTTAATGCTGAATTGCTCTGTGCACCCGTCTATATACAGGACTCCCTCACGGTGTATCCGTTGGTGTTTGACATCAATCTCGACTACGAGGCGGCCATGCGTCGTCTGCACTACCTGGTGGATGGAAGCTATATCGACAATGGCACGCGCACAGTCGACGTCAGCTTCATAACTTTCAACGGTGGGTGCCTTGAGTTTTTACCACAACTTCAGCTGGACCAGAATGTGTTTTATCGCATGTGTTTTTTCAAAACTCGCAGTGTGGACGTCAGCTTCATAACTTTTAATGGTACTTAATTGGCACTGTTTTAGACCAATCAAGGTGAACCTCTGGTGTACCAGAAATGTGAGTCGTGCCAAAGGCATGAATGTTTTCTCTCCTTCAGCGACCTTAAATGATCTGTCCCGTCCAATTCTCCCACGTCTCATTGCGTCCACCACCTTTGCCCCTAATGGCAGGCGAGTCGCTCACTTTTGTGCTGACAACTGTGAATTGCAAAGTGACAACGGGCGGCAGCATGGCAGTAACGATCAAGTCCCAGCCGGCAGCCATGGCGATGTACGATGCATCGGCGGACAACATCGCACGGCTGGTGCTGGAGATGGTGTATCTGGTGGGGCTGCTCTGGAATGTTTGTGGCGAGCTGCAGGAGATGGCCGACCGCGCTGCTATCGACGGCTCTTGGCTCAGCTACTTTGGCCTTGTGTGGAACTGGGTCGACATGCTCTCTCTCACACTTCAAGTGGCTGCAGTTGTTATCTGGTAAGGAACCAGCCAAGGTTTGTCAATGGTAGCCTTTGCCGTGCGATGCACGCAGTGCTCATCATCTCACGTTGAACCCCGCGTACGGCTCCTACCCTCACCGCTCATCCGCCCCCCACACGCCCGCAGTAACTCACACTCATCCACATCTGCACGTGTGTGTCGGTGTGCTCAGGGTGGTGCTGTGGCGGTATGTGGAATCATTTGACATGCAGCCACGATACGACATCTACCACTCGCTTCTCGAGATGCCACGCTACTGGGCCGTGCCCAACCCGCCCACAGGCTTCATCAGCGCCACTCAGGCCTTCGCTGATCTGCGCAACATCATCAACCTCCGCGGCGTCTACTTTTCCCTCCAAGGCATCAAGTGAGCCGCCTAGCCCTCAACACACACAAATGTCTGTGTGTGTACGTGCGTGCGTGCATGTGCGTGCGTGCGTGTGCGTGCGCGCGTGCATGTGTGCGTATGTGTGTCGATTGTCTTTTGCCGGGTAAAAAATCACGTAACTTTTTTACCCAGCCCGTTTGCTCATGTCTAGCTGTCGATTATTGATTGATGATCCATCCCAAATCGACCACACTCTTACTTCTGCGCCGCCTAATTCCCTTCCCTGCTCCCTGTTCCCCTCCAGTCTCTTCTTCATGATGATTCGCCTACTCAAAGTCATGGACTTCCAGCCCTATCTGGGCGTCATCACTCGCTCCCTCGCCCTCGCCACGCCGTCCCTGATGCACTTCTTCCTGCTCTCCTTTACGGTCTTCTTCTGCTTCAGCATGTACGCCTACCTCGTCTTCGGAGGAGCACTTGAGATGGTATGTGTGGGGCTCGTTCTTTCCTTTCTTTGATGTGTTGATGATGGTTTCGCTTAAATAAGCGACCCGTCTTGTACCTGTGGGTGAATAGTCTTGATAATAGTGGATTGGACTAGGCGACTATGACCGCGGCGGTCTGCATCCATGAGCTGGTTAGGGCGTCTGCGATATGATTCGCGCATTTTTTGTACGTGATGGTGTAGCGGAAGCTGGACTCAACAAAGTCCAACCATTGGATTTGTCGCGGGTTCAGCGTCAATTGGGCTCGCAGGTACTGTAACGACTTATGGTCCGTTCGGACTATCACGTCGGCTCCCGTCAGGTAGCAGCGCCAGGCAGGAAATGCGTGCACGGTGGCCCACATTTCAATGTCATGAACCTGGTAATTGCGCTCGGGTGGCTGCATCTTGCCTGACATGTACGCAATGGGTTGCAGCCCATTGCCGATATCATGTAACAGAAGGGCGCCGATGGTGAAGTCGCTGGCGTCGGTTATAACTTCGAACGGTCGAGATGGGTGCACGAGCCTTAGCACCGGGGGTGAACTCAAAATGTTTTTCAGTGCATCGAAGGCCGACTGCTCTTCCTCCCCCCATGAGAAACACTCTGTTTTGCTTGAGCAAGACTTTGTGTGCTCAAGTTTACCATGACCTCCGGTTTGCCAACCTTCCGCATTTTCGAGTTTTTTTTTTTTTTTTTTTTTTTTTTTTTTTGAAAGTCTTACCCCAACAACTTCCCCATCTCCCGCCTCCCCCCTTCCACACTTTGCAGTTCTCCACAGTGCTAGAGTCCATGTTCTCGTGCTTCTTGCTGCTTCTCAACGACAATGGGTCGGCCTACTTCTTCCAGCGCATGGAGTCGTGGGACCTCATAGCCGCGATGCTCTTCTTCTTCATGTTCATCGTCTTCATGGTCTTCATCCTCCTCAACTTCCTCATCGCCATCATCGTCGATGCCTTCATGAGCGTCAAGGACAGCAACCTTGTCGCCACCTCTATAGCCGCTGACCTCGCTCACATCTTCAAGTACAAGTGGAACTGTTGGCGCGGCCGCTACCTGCCATATCCGCTCATTCTCGACCGCCTCGTGGAGTTGGGCGCAAAGGACACTCGAGTTGACGAGGTGAGAGAACTGGGCACCTTCGTGGAGAAGGTTAGAGGCCGAATAAATGGTTCATTGTGAACTTTCATCAAATGGTCAACGTAGCATTAGGAGTCCCAATTGAGTGTTGTTTTTCAAATCACTGTTCGTGGTTCCACATAAGATTTCCTCTTTTTTTTTCTAGTTAATTATCAATCTCTCTTGTCGTATATGCTACTTGTAAAGTGTATGCTCTCGGTTGTTGTTGAATCGGGCATGCTCTTTTTTTTTTAACATCATTCCTTCACCTCTTCTCCTCCCATCTCGTCACATCACGTGCTTTACAGTCGGATCGTCAGATGCGTCGCATGCAGTCAATGAAGCGGCGAACACGGGCCCTCTTCTCCTGCAGCTGTGCCGGCGCCTGCAAGCCGTCTCACCTCAGTTGCGGGGAGAACCACCCCGCCTTCCCGTCCGCCAGCGAGACTGGGGAGCGGCGGCAGCACGTGCTGACAGTGAGGGAGAAGCGCATCGACGTCATCTCACTTGCCATGATCCTGCAGCGCCGCCAGGATAGGGAGGTACGTCCTTGCTGGCGCAGTGGTCAGAATGAGTACTGTGGCATGCCATGTGTTGTGGTATGCCATGTGGTACTGCTATGGCGTATATTGTGCCATAAGTTGTGCCAAGTCATGTCGTTGTGCCAGGGTATAAGTTGTGCTAAGTGTTGTGCCATGCGTTGTGGCAAGCCATGTATTGTGACATGCACGTCCAGTGCACGTGATGTGCTGACTTATATGCATGAATTTCTCACAAACAATCTGCCGCCGGACGTCCCTCTTTCCACCGCTCTCCCCATGTTTCACAATCTTTCCCCAGCGAGTTGGGCCCTGCAAGGCTGAGCCGCCGCACAAGTGTTGGCTAAGGGCAGGCGCGAGTGAGGATGCGGAGGAGGAGCGGCTGGAGCAGCTGTCGCAGGCGGTGGTGCTGCAGTGCGGCGAGGTGGTGAAGCAGTCCGCCCTGCCCGTCAAGAAGAGCGTAAAGAAGCTCAGCCTGGCTCACATCAAGGTGCGCAAGGAAGGGGGTGAGGGGTTGTGTTGTGAATGCAGTCGAGTGGTGGTGTGTGAGCAACTACAAGTGAGAGTGGGTGTGTGCAAATACAGCGGGAATTCCAGTCATCAGAATCCAATGGATGGGATACTAGAAGAGCCTGCAATCAGCCCTACATGTTGCATACCTACCTTCCATGCGTTCCTGCTGCTCCCCCACAGCATCTCTTCGCGCCCCTCTCTCCCTTCCCCATGCCAACGCCCCTCCCTTCCCATGTGTGTGAGAGCAGGCGGATCTGGCACGCAGCGAGGCGAAGGTGGAGGAGCTGAGTGCCATGATGGCGGACATGCACGCCCTCATGCGCGACCTCCTCGCCCGCACGCCCCCGCTAAGCACTGCCCACTAACCGGGTACTCCCGGTGGGCTGCCAGCATTGTCAAGCATGCCGCGCGCCTACACGGAGCCCTCGCGACGTCTCATGTCCCTCACAAACTCCCCGCCGCCACTGGAGCAAGCAGGCACTAGGAGAGAGGTGCCTAGAAGGTTCAGCGAGAGTGGGGCAGGTGGGCGGCCATTTGAGGGAGAGAAAAGAGCGGGGTGCACAAGAGATGGTTGGAGCCCTGCAGGAGGGAGCTCGAGCAGAACCCCCGTGCGTTTTGAGTCGGCTCAAAACTCACCTGGGGGGGCAGTTGAGGGAGGGAAACGAGCGGGTGACAGTAGAGATGGGTTGAGTATAGCAGGAGGGGGCTTGAGCAGAACTCCGGTGCAGGCGTCACAACGGGTGTTGGGCAGGCGAGTGTCGTGGCAAGATGGCAGAGGGGCGGATAGGGAAAGGTCAGAGGGGTGGCAGTAGGAGGGTTGTTTTTATTTATTGCACGAAATCAGCTTTGGCTTTGACCTGCCTGTAACCATTACTAACAGTCTCGCATTGTAACAATGCAATGTACGATACTAACAGTTTGTGTTGTAGTGCCACGCTTCGTGTTGTTTTGAGGTGTTATGGTGTTGCATTAGACTTTATTAAATTCCTGTACAGCTTCTTATTCACCCAATTCTCTCAACGGGAGTGTAGTCTACATGTTCTGGAGCTGTATGGGAGTCTAAATGGCTGGCATCTTCTGATGCAGAAGATGCCAGGAGGTCTGATTCAAGGCCTGTCCATCATGCCAGATTGGCCAACTGGTGACAAGGCACAGCGGGGTCCAATTCAGTCCCTTGGGTACATCACCACCCTGCCTCCAGGTGCTCCTTTGCTGGTCTTACAGATTGCAGCTAGCCAGAGACGTGCAATGGACACTGCATCCCCAATATACCGCAGGAAGGTTGAGAAAGGGCCGTACGGGGAACAGAGGAAAACTATCAGAGTTGATCTCAGTGTTTCAGAAACATTCAAGGGGCTCTTTGATTTCCTATCAGTGGTTGTTGCCACGAATCCTCTGCGCTCACACCACTCACACCACCCTCACCGCCCTCCACCGCCTCGTCTTGGAACACCACCCGTCTCCCTGGCCCTTGTTTCGACGATGGGGATCTGCTGCTCCCTGCCAACCTCCCATTCCCACTTGCTCCTTTAGCCATGCTACACCCGCCTTTCCCACTCCCCTCCACTGCTGCTCCACTCGCCATGCCTATCCCACCCGCCACCTCCCCTAGCCCCGCACCCTCCGCGTCCACTTGCGGCACTTTCCGACACGGCTGCACCAGTGGTAGCTGCCCCGGCAGGGGTGATACCGAGCGGGGAACGAGAGGGCCCTGGGCGCGTAAGGCGGGGAGGGCGCGGTCGAGCAGCGCCATCATGGCTCGCATGTCGCTCTGCATGTCCGCCATCATGCCCCTCAGCTCCTCCACTCCTGCCTGGCACCGCACCACCTCCTCCTGCTCGCCCATGCATGACATGACACATGGGAGGAAGGGGGGTAAGGCATGGGACACGGGTGCTTACTCTCTGCCTTAACCAGCAGGGCAGCATGAGCAATGACTCTTGGAGTGATTCAACATGCACTTGCATCCACACATACCCCACCGGCCTGCCACCCTTCCCCCACCCACTCCACACACCTGCACGTGGGCCAGGCTAAGCTTTTGAACGGGCTTCTTGACGGGCAGGGCGGCCTGCTTCACCACCTCGCCGCACTGCAGCACCACCGCCTGCGACAGCTGCTCCAGCTGCTCCTCGTCTGCAGTCCAGGGGGCAGCCCCCCACATGGCCCCGTTCTCACACGTGGACGAGGAGAAACACGCTCCACTGGATGACGTGGCAGGGGCTTTCTTTACCTGGAGAACAGCAAGTGAAGGCCGATGGGATGAGAAGATGGAGTGGGATTGGAAGAGGAGAAGGGATGGTGGATGGGAAGGCTGAATGTAGTTGAGAGTCGGGCTGAGACGAGAGGCAGAGTGATGAAGGGGAAAACATTGGGCAACCCTGGATATCGGCCAAAACAGGGACTTTTCATGGCATTACCCACATCAGTCGTCACAAGCATAACAGGACGACATGAAAAGCATGGGAACGAGCATGGGAGCAAGGACGCACCGCCTGGTCATGGCGGCGCTGCAGAATCATGGCAAGTGAGATGACGTCGATGCGCTTCTCCCTCACTGTCAGCACGTGCTGCTTCCGCACCCGCGACTCGCTGGCCGCGGAAGGGAAGGCGGGTTGGTTGCCAGACCGCGGGAAGGGCGTCGACTTGTCGGCGCTGCCTCGCGAGCCCGAGAGCATGGCGCCGACCCGCCGTTGGATTGACTTGAAGCGGCGCTTCCGAGGGTTCTCCTGAAACGAATGCGCGTGTGCGGAATGGCGTGAGTGGGGTGGGAGATGGCGGTGAGGGATTGGTGGCAACGGTGGCCGTTGCAGCACGGACAAGGCGTCACCATAAACCTGCGTGAAAGGAATCTATCGCCTCGTGTCCGCATGGCTGGAACAACCACTTGCAAAACAACCAAGCACATTCACTTCACTCACTCCATGGGACACCCACAGAACCCTGCAACAAACACCTCACCACACACTCACGTCTTTTATGCGTGTGTCTTTAGCGCCTAAGTCCACAAGGCGGTCGAGAATGACGCGGTACGGCAAGTAGCGGCCGCGCCAGCAGTTCCACTTGTACTTAAATATGTGTGCGAGGTCAGCAGCTATGGAAGTCGCAACGACGTCGCTGTCCTTGACGCTCATGAAGGCATCGACGATGATGGCGATGAGGAAGTTGAGGAGGATGAAGACCATGAAGACGATGAACATGAAGAAGAAGAGCATCGCGGCTATGAGGTCCCACGACTCAAGGCGCGAAAGGAAGTAGGCGGAGCCGTTGTCGTTGATGAGCAGTAGGAAGAGGGAGAACATGGAGTTGAGTACTGTGGAGAACTGCAGTGGTTGGGTTGGGAGGGCAGGAGAAGGGGTGCTTGTGGAGCAGTGGATGGAAAAGACCCACAAGGTTGGGAAACAGGAGAGGCGGCATGGTGAACCTGGAAAGAAAATATATACATATATGCATACTTACATACATACACACATATATACAGATTTACATGTTATATATGCATAGCATATATATATATATATATATGTATGTGTATATAAATGTGCTATGTATACATAATATAAAAAGTGATGGTAACTGGTTTCCGCTTACGGCATTATTCGTCTCACAGCGCATAATTGGTGCTCTCACTTGGGTTTGATTTAGACAGCAGGAGCAAATGAGCCCCACATCCACACATACCAGCTCCATTGCGCCTCCGAAGACGAGGTAGGCATACATGCTGAAGCAGAAGAAGACCGTAAAGGAGAGCAGGAAGAAGTGCATCAGCGAGGGCGTGGCGAGGCTGAGGGAGCGAGTGATGACCCCAAGGTAAGGCTGGAAGTCCATGACCTTGAGTAGGCGAATCATCATAAAGAAGACACTGGGGGATTGGGGGTTGCGGAGGAGGGGGAAGGGAAGGATGTCAGCAGACTGAGCGAAACCTGTGTTACACAAACAGTCGCACCTCGGACCGACCTCTGCTCAGGCTTCGGCTCAATCAGTTCAGGTTTGACTTTTGCTCATGGTACATTCCGAGCTCTGGTAAGACTTCTGGACAGCAATGCTTCTCAACCTGGGAATTAGCACAATCAGTGAGAAATTGCTGCGATTTAGGGCCACAAGCACGGCTGACCAGAAGTTTGGCCAGAGCCCGGAATGTACCCTCAATCTGGGAAGCCGTAGAGACAGTGAAAATGGCTCACTATATTGTTCTGAAAAGCGCGGCAGCGCACTTGAAACCGTGACGGGCAAGGTGAGCGGCTGACTCACTTGATGCCCTGGAGGGCGAAGTAGACGGCGCGAAGGTTGATGATGTTGCGCAGATCAGCAAAAACTTGAGTGGCTCTGATGAAGCCTAAGGGCGGGTTGGGCACGGCCCAGTAGCGTGGCATCTCGAACAGCGAATAGTAGATGTTGTACCGTGGTTGCATGTCGAACGCGCTCACGTACCGCCACAGCACCACCCTGGCCACACCAATGCACACGCACAAACCCACAAGAGGAGGATGGGGAGCAAGGCGGAGGAGCAGGGAAACATGGTCAGATGAGGTCATTTCTTAGGCGCCTCAAGAAATTTTCTGGATGACGAGCAAGTGAGACAGAAAACAGCTCTTGCCTCACCAGAGGGCAACGGTTTTTTGAAAATTCTCACCAGAGGACAACGGCGATAGCTTGCAGCGAGAGAGAGAGCATGTCGATCCAGTTCCATGCTTGCTCAAAATAGCTGAGCACAGAGCCATCCTTGGCAGCGCGGTCGGCCATCTCCTGCAGCTCGCCACACACATTCCAGAGCAGCCCCACCAAGTAAACTATCTCCAGCACCAGCCGTGCGATGTTGTCCGCCGATGCATCGTACATCGCCATGGCTGCCGGCTGTGACTTGAAGCTCACGTCCATGCTGCCCCCCCCATTCACCGTGCACCTCACAGTTGTCAGCACAAAGGTGAGCGTCTCGCCTGCCAACAGGGGGGGCGTCAAGGAGGCGAGTGAGAGGCGTGCATTGAGAGAGAGGCAGTGTACACTGAATGTTGCAAGAAACGAATAAATGTGTTGAGTAGATACATGTGCTCGAGGGTTGCTGTTACCACAAGGAAATTGAATACCATTGAAGGTTATGAAGTTGACGTCTATGCTGCGCGTGCCATTGTCAATGTAGCTGCCATCCACCAAGTAGGTTAAACGCCGTGTGGCCGCCTCGTTATCGAGATTAATGCCAAACACCAAAGGGTATGTCATGAGAGACGCCTGCTAGAAAAGGTACAGGTGAACGCTATTTTCGCCAAGACATCATCGGCTTCATCGGTAACATACCACAACAGCAAGAAACAAGACAGCAAGACAGCGCGAGAGCAAGGTAGCACGACAGCAAGGCAGCAGAGCAGATAGACATGGAGGAGCACAAGGCACTAGGGCAGCAAGGCAGCAGGCCAGCACACGAAAGAGATGAGTCGGTCGTTTGCCTTGCTTGTTTTGAGACGTCTCAGAACTTGCCTTGCTTGCGAACTGGGATGGGATGGGATCCACCTAAGCACTTCACCGCACCTCTCTGCACTGGCAGTACCGGGCACTAATGCGGAACATAAATCTTCGAAGGGGCTTATCATGAAGTAGATGAAGCCGTTTACTCTTAGTACCAACGATATGGAAAATTAAGCACTTACTCTTTCTACTAACCATATGAGTAATTAATGCACTTACTGTTAGTACCAACCATATAGGTAAATAACGCACTTACTCTTAGTACCAACAATATGAGTAAGTAAAGACCAACAATATGAGTAAGTATCGCACTTACTCTTGATACGAACTATATGGGTAATGCGCTTACTCTTAGTGCCAACCACATGGGTAAGTAACGCGCTTCCATTTGGTACCAACCATATCAGTAATTAACGCATTTATTCTTAATACGAAATATATGTGTATGTAACGCATTTAATTTTAGTATCAACCATATGGGTAAGTAACGTGCTTACTCTTGGTACCAACTATATTGGCAAGTAATGCGCTTACTCTTAGTACTAACATGGGTAAGTAGGGCGCTTGCACTGCTTGACAATGGCAGATAATGCGGAGAACATATCTTTAAAGGGACTGACCAAGGGGTAGATGAAGCCATAGGGGAGGCCCTGTGGGTTGAACTGCAGTTTGAAGCCGAAGGTGTTGTTGTCGAGCTGGCTCATGTTGGCGCTGGCAGCGCTGTCGTAGATGGCCGACGTGGGCAGGAAGTGCGGGTTCACTCCAAACGGTTCCGTAGACGTGCCGTTGCTGCACCACCCCCCCAGGTGCAGCAGGCTGGGGGGGGAGAGGAGGGAGGGGAGAGGGCAGGTAGAGGGGGTTGGGGGAGAGAAGGGCGGGTGTTGCTGTGAGCAAGGGAGTGAAGTGCAGTCGTTGAAAGAAGGGCAATCGGTGGCGATGTCACAGCGACAGGATCTGTCCCAGCGACAGGATCTGTCCCAGCGACAGGATCTGTCCAGCGACAGGATCTGTCCCAGCGACAGGATCTGTCCCAGCGACAGGATCTGTCCCAGCGACAGGATCTGTCCCAGCGACAGGATCTGTCCCAGCGACAGGATCTGTCCCAGCGACAGGATCTGTCCCAGCGACAGGATCTGTCCCAGCGACAGGATCTGTCCCAGCGACAGGATCTGTCTCAGCGACAGGATCTGCCCCAGCGACAGGATCTGTCCCAGCGACAGGATCTGTCCCAGCGACAGGATCTGTCCCAGCGACAGGATATGTCCCGGCGACAGGATCTGTCCCAGCGACAGGATTTGTCACAGCGACAGATTTGTCACAGCGACAGATTTGTCACAGCGACAGGATCCGACAAACATCGTGAAAACCTTGCACGCCACAGTAGGCATGAGCAACAGTCAAAGCATGATGGCGCGGCTCGTTGGGCCGGCCCCATCAAGCCGCAGCCCCGCACATTGGCTCCTTCGCTTGTGGAAGCTGGTCCAACGAGTGGCACCTAGCTCGGCTACCACCCTTGCGCATGCCTGCATGCATGCCCCTTCACGAGAGCCACTAACCCCATGCATGAAAGCCACTCACCCCGCTCCGCTGCACTGCTGTGTGCCCCACCGATCCTGCTGCAGCACCATGCCGATCAACAGACTGCCACGGAGAAGACGGAAGAGGGGGGGGGGGGGGGGGGGGGGAGGGAGATACGGAAGAGGAGAGCGAGAAGCCGATTGTGGTGGCGAGCCAAGGTTTTGATGGATATATGCTGTGCTGCTGCGAGGTCGGGATGAGTGAAAGCATAACAAGGTCGTGGAAAGGTATGGCGCTGCACAAGAGTGTCGCCAACAGTGCGGCCGACTGGGGAGGCATGGAGGCAGGGGGCGGCGTACCGGTTGCGGCGAGACACGTAGCGTGTGGCCGCAAAGCCCCTCTCAGCCGCAAACACGTAGTTGCTCTCCGTGTAGTTGGGGCCGTAGCGCTGCAGTGAGAAGGGGAAGTTGAGATTGGCGCCCACCGCCGTGGATAGACAGCACGCTGGAGGAGAAAGGGGAGGAACAAAGACGAGGAAGGGGAGGGAGATGAGGAGAGAGAGCAGGATGGGAGGGCAAGCGTGAATTGAGAACAGGAGAGAAGAGAGGGACGGTGGAGGGGCGAGAGGGTCGAGTGGAGGGGGGAGAGGGGTGACTGACAGCCGTCGTCGCGGCGGGTGTGGCCGGGCGGGCAGGCGCAGATGCCGGGGCCAAAGAGCGAGTCGACACACGCGCAGTCGCCGCCGTCAAAGGCGCACACGGGCGTGTTGCACGCCGCATCGCACACCCCGTTCGCCAGCCGCTGCAGCCGGCACCCCGGCGAGCACTCGTAGGTTGCCGTGGTGTTGGTGGGGCCGGCAGTCGTGCTGTTGGCAGCGGTGGGGTTTGTGGTGTTGGTAACGACCGCGGTGTTACTGGCAAAACCTGCATTTTTTCATGCGAAGGAAAGCCAGGGAAAGGGACAGGAGATGTGGAGAGGAGGGGTTGGAGAATGATGGAAAGAAGGGGACGAGCTGTGAAGGGTGAGAGAGGATGGGGAGGATGGAGGCAGGAGGGTGTACTGGGATGCAGCAGCTGGGAACGTTGAGGAGAGAATGCACGGAGGGCGAGTGAATGCACTGAAAGGGAGGGCCCATGGAAGAGGGCGCATGGAAGAGGGCGCATGGAAGAGGGCGCATGGAAGAGGGCGCATGGAAGAGGGCGCATGGAAGAGGGCGCATGGAAGAGGGCGCATGGAAGAGGGCGCATGGAAGAGGGCGCATGGAAGAGGGCGCATGGAAGAGGGCGCATGGAAGAGGGCGCATGGAAGAGGGCGCATGGAAGAGGGCCCATGGAAGAGGGCGCATGGAAGAGGGCGCATGGAAGAGGGCGCATGGAAGAGGGCCCATGGAAGAGGGCGCATGGAAGAGGGCGCATGGAAGAGGGCGCATGGAAGAGGGCGCATGGAAGAGGGCGCATGGAAGAGGGCGCATGGAAGAGGGCGCATGGAAGAGGGCGCATGGAAGAGGGCGCATGGAAGAGGGCCCATGGAAGAGGGCGCATGGGAGAGCGCATGGAATAGCTGAAAGGCACAGGAGAGATGAAACGCACATATGCAGTGCTTACCAGTAGCATCCGCCCCAGCCCTTGCAGGCAGCACTGTGAGAATGCTGGCGGACATGGAGGAGGGGGTGAGGGAGGAGGAGGGAGAGGCAGAGGAAGACACGGCGTCCCCAGCCGTGCCTGCCAGCGAGCCGTCCGAGTAGTGGATGGTGATGGGCTCTCCAAACACCTTGCTGTACGCAAAGGAACCCACGGGCTCGTCGTCCATTCCTGGTGGGGAAAGGGGTTGGGACGTGGAGGGGGTGTACAGGGTCGTGGTTGGAGTGATGGGGTGCGACAGTGATGCATGTGCAGCAGCAGGCCAGGATGTTGAGTCGAAACGAAGCAGCAGGCTGCACATAGCTTGGTGAAACGAATCGTTAACCAGCGCCCAGTACTGGATTGCACTGGATAGCTCACTGACCATGGCATGAGGAGGGCACTCACTGAGCACGCAGGGCACGGGGTCATCGCTCGTGTCGCCGGCGCCCACGTTCATGGGAGTGCACACCATCTGCCGTGACACGGCCAGGCGGTCCCCCCCGAAGCCCACGAACAGCGGGTCGCCCGCCTCTCCCATCCCCGCCACTGGTAGTGGTGGTGGCATGGTGGTGGGGACACAGGGGTGTGGAGGCACATGGTGGGGCATGAGGCAGTTTAGACCAGTGAATGGGAAGGTCGCATGGGGCACAAAGAGTACTTACAGAAATAACCACAAAAACTCGTTTTCTCTACGAAGCAATATAGGCACGGATGTACACACGAGGTAGTGGCGCGAATGGAAAGTGGTAGAGATTTGAAGACAAAGATGTACCTCTGATGGAGTGTGGGAGGTCGTCATCCCACACCCAGGTGACCTTGTCGCCCACATGGATGGTCGTGTTGTGAGACACGCCTGCCCGCCACTGCAACCACGCACCGCCTGGAGGGAGACAGAGAGGGTTAAGGAAGTGCCTTCAGTCAAACATGCTCGGTCTATGGTGCCATGAATGACAGCAACACTCAGACATGCACATACAAATGCATGCACGCACGCAAGCACGCGCAAGCACGCACACACGAGCGCGCACGCACATGCACACGCACATGCACATGCACATGCACAAGAGCGCATCGAACACACCAACCAGCAGGACCACCGGGCATGAGCACCTTGTGAGCAGCCGACAGAGTCGGAGGTGACGATGGCATCGTCGAAGGAGTGCATGAGCGTGTTGAGGACGCGCCGCAGCCGCGTCCTGCCATGGGCGTCACCGACCTCAGAGCCGCCACCATGGTCTGCACGAAGCGCCGCATGTGCTGCGCTGAGATCATGCGCCCACCGCTCACATGCGTGCGCTGCAGGTATGCGTACATCTCACCACCCCCCACCACCGGCTGCCCTGCTTCATCCGTGAACCGGCACTCATCCAGCGTCGTCACAGGGCCCCCCAGCATCGTGCAAAAGCACGCCACCATACGCCCCCGCACGCTGCCCAACCCTCCATGTGTGTGGTTGCTCGCTCCCGCCGCTACCCTCGCCTCTGCTCCAGGAGCACGGCCAGCCAGGCAGCGGTCCTTGGCCATGGTGAAGAGAGCACGCGACACCGCCACCTGCAGCGCTGTCAGTCGCTGGCGGTCCGTGGCGCCCAGGAGGGACCAGAGAGAGGGCTGTGTGGGGTCTGCTGTGGCTGCCGTTCCCGCTGCTGCCATTGCTGCCATTGCTGCTACTGCTGCTGCTGCTGGCGGTGGCAGGGCTGCAACTGCTGCTCCTGGTGCGCCTTGCACTGGCGGAGCAGGCAGAGCCGCAGCAGCGGCATCAGCAGAGGCAGCAGAAGCAGCCAGCGAGGCAAACGCAGGAGGGGCGTCAGTGGGCAAGGCCGAGGAGGGTCCAATCGCTGTAGCGGTGTGGGTGGAGGCGGCGGTGTGGGTGTAGGCGGCGGAGTTGTTCCTGGGCCTGAGAAACGACGGGGGCCATCAGTAGTGGGTTATGGTTCAGCGGAGCCAGACAGCATGATAAGGTGGGATTATCAAGAAGTGAAACACACGAACAAAGGGCGAACAGCGACGTGAAGGGAGCACGAGAAAAAGCGGAGAAGGAAAGCCACAAGGAGCAGCAAGCTAAGGGCGAGGATCCAGAGAAAAGGAGCAACAAGCAGAACGGAGCAGCAAGCAATGGTGAGCATCAAGCAAAGGGTGAGCTGCAAGCAAAGGTGAGCAGCAAGCGATGGGGATGGGAGGAGCACCTTCCGGCGGGCAAAACGAGAGAGGTGTCCCGTGGAGTTGACTGCTGGTTTGGAGGGCGTGTTGTGGCGTGAGAGAAGATGATGGCGGAGAGAGGTGAGTCACGAATGAACGCCACAGCGTGCAGCAAGTGCGTGTGAGTCGAACGCACACACATGCTACACGAGACGATACTCAAGCCAACTCAATACAAAATGCAGGAGCGGGAGGGGCGATACCTGAAACGTTGCAGGGGATGTTGGAGAAGAGTGTTGCGATCTCAGGCTGCAGGCAGCGGGGAATAGAGGAGGGCGGGGACGAGTGAGCAAGAGAAGCGCCCTGGGAATAGAGGAGACGCTGGCGGTGAGTAGCCCGCGGGGCGACAGGTAGCAGGCAGTCTGACGTGGTGCACTGTTGGCAGCCACCCAAGGATGTCGAGGCATGCCAGGGCAGGGCAGAGAGGTAGCGCAGGGCAGAGAGGTAGCGCAGGGCAGAGAGGTAGCGCAGGGCAGAGAGGTAGCGCAGGGCAGAGAGGTAGCGCAGGGCAGAGAGGTAGCGCAGGGCAGAGAGGTAGCGCAGGGCAGAGAGGTAGCGCAGGGCAGAGAGGTAGCGCAGGGCAGAGAGGTAGCGCAGGGCAGAGAGGTAGCGCAGGGCAGAGAGGTAGCGCAGGGCAGAGAGGTAGCGCAGGGCACGAGGGCTGTGCAACACCACTGCTGGCATACCATGCGGCACGGCTGGTCGATTTGCAGAATTCAATTAATTATCCAGTGTTGCATGGGGCAGGACCGTTTGCTCTATACAAGCATCAGAGACACGGGGCGCACGCAATGGGAGCAGCATGGGGCAAGGGGCGCACCATGGGGCAGGGAGTGTCGGCGTAGATGGTGATGGAAGAAGGTGCGACGATGCACATGCGCGCACAGTCCACGAACGCCCCTGCCACCTCCCTCTCCGTGAATGCTCGCCCACAGGTTGCTGGCAGGCAGGCCACCAGCCTTGCACACGTCTGCATGCAAACACACATGCACTCACGCATGCATGCACACATGCATCCACGCATGCACACACACATGCACCCTTGCATGCACGCACGAACGCATGCATGTGCACACACATACACACACACACACACACACACCCACACACACACACACACACCCACACACACACCACACACACACACACACACACACACGCTCACTCACACGCATGCACGAAGTTCGATTGGCACATGTGATTAAAAGCATGCACACACTCAGCTCGAAATGACACACTCAGCTCGGAATGACACATTCAGCTCGGAATGACACACTCAGCTCGGAAGGACACATTCAGCTCGGAATGACACATTCAGCTCGAAATGACACATTCAGCTCGAAATGACACATTCAGCTCGAATGACACATTCAGCTCGGAATGACACACTCAGCTCGGAATAACACACGGTGAAAGCTGAGTGTGGTCAACAGCACGGCACCCATGTGCCATCCCCAACATTAGTGAGCCCCCTGTTCCTAACGACGATAGTGTGTCGGACAGCAAGGGGCACGCGAAGCAGCGGCATACTCACGTCACGGCAGACATCAGGCGGAGAACCACCAGCGCCGCCACTTGGCAGCGCCTGACTGGCTGCATCCACGTCATCGTCGTGCGTACAGTAGCCCCATGCGGCGAGCTCAATGGTGGAGGCGGCGCCGACGACGGAGAAGCGGCGCGTGCCGGGAGGGGGGCGCGTGCACGGTGCCGCGGATACCCCCCGCGGGCGCGTTGAGCACCAACCACCCAGTCGCCGTCCGGAATGTCCAACGCCACTGACACCTCCGCATCGCCCAAAGGGAATGGCTGAAACTCCTCGTACCTGCTTGCACCGCACCGCATGGCCGCCACGCATGGGGGTGGCGTGGGGTGGGGTGGGGTGGGGATGATTACACAGGACGGGGACGGCAAAGAAGAGCAGAGCGGCGGGAGGAGGGCGAGCATACCAGCAGAGGGAGACCGGGTTGACCATGCAGAGGTTCCAGGAAGATTCGTCAGCAGCCTGCTGTGTGTCGAGCTGAGAGGAGAGGCGGATGACGACGGAGGTGAGGTTGGGGAAGATGCCGCAGTCCGCCTCGCAGCCAAAGCGGCCAAACGCCGGATACTGGAAGGGCCGGTCGCATGTGCCAGAGCCACACGTCGGGTCCCGCCACAGTTTCTGCAGGGGCGGCGGGGAGAGCGGCGGCAGTGAGGAGCACACGGGCCGATGAGTGTGCGAGCTTTTTATGCAGACAAGGGGAGGGCTGGGATGCCGCGTGGGTGGCGGAATGTAAGCGTGGGTATGCAGGACGAAACACGCACCAAGTGCACGAGGAGCTATAGGGCAGAGATGAAGGGGGAGAGGTAAGAGAACGCACCTGAATGATGCTGGTGTTGAGCCAATTGTAAAAGTCATCCGGGCTATCAAAGGTGTTGGACGCGTCCTGACGCATGCCCTGCTCTCGCGGTAGGGAGAGACGCACACAGGGCGGGAGGTGAGGAGAGGCGAGTGAGGAGAGTTGCGGCGAAGGTGCACAAAGGGGGCCAGCTGAGTGGAGAGGGCGAGAGGCAGGGGCACATTGGTAGAGGTTATGCGCGCAAGAGTGCATGCTCGCAAGAGTGCAAGCTCGCAAGAGTGCAAGCTCGCAAGAGTGCAAGCTCGCAAGAGTGCATGCGCGCAGAGGTGGGGAAAAGTCCGGAGATTGGGAGCATACAGGCGGGTAGCGCACGGCGGCGTGCTAGCATGAATGCACACTAGCATGAATGCACGCTAGCATGAATGCACGCTCGCATGAATGCACGCTAGCATGAATGCACGCTAGCATGAATGCGCGCTAGCATGAATGCACGCTAGCATGAATGCACGCTAGCATAGCATGAATGCATGCTAGCATGAATGCACGCTAGCATAGCATGAATGCACGCTAGCATGAATGCGCGCTAGCATGAATGCACGCTAGCATAAATGCACGCTCGCATGAATGCACGCTAGCATAGCATGAATGCATGCTAGCATGAATGCACGCTAGCATAGCATGAATGCACGCTAGCATGAAATGCGCGCTAGCATGAATGCACGCTGGCATGAATGCGCGCTAGCATGAATGTGCGCTAGCATGAATGCACGCTTAGCATGAATGCACGCTAGCATAGCATGAATGCACGCTAGCATAGCATGAATGCACGCTAGCATGAATGCGCGCTAGCATGAATGCACGCTAGCATAAATGCACGCTCGCATGAATGCACGCTAGCATAGCATGAATGCATGCTAGCATGAATGCACGCTAGCATGAATGCGCGCTAGCATGAATGCACGCTGGCATGAATGGCTAGCATGAATGCGCGCTAGCATGAATGCACGCTAGCATGAATGCACGCTAGCATAGCATGAATGCATGCTAGCATGAATGCACGCTCGCATGAATGCACGCTAGCATGAATGCACGCTAGCATGAATGCACGCTAGCATGAATGCACGCTAGCATGAATGCACGCTAGCATGAATGCACGCTAGCATAGCATGAATGCATGCTAGCATGAATGCACGCTAGCATAGCGTGAATGCACGCTAGCATGAATGCGCGCTAGCATGAATGCACGCTAGCATAAATGCACGCTCGCATGAATGCACGCTAGCATAGCATGAATGCATGCTAGCATGAATGCACGCTAGCATAGCATGAATGCACGCTAGCATGAATGCGCGCTAGCATGAATGCACGCTGGCATGAATGCGCGCTAGCATGAATGCGCGCTAGCATGAATGCACGCTAGCATGAATGCACGCTAGCATAGCATGAACGCATGCTAGCATGAATGCACGCTAGCATAGCATGAATGCACGCTAGCATGAATGCGCGCTAGCATGAATGCGCACTAGCATGAATGCGTGCTAGCATGAATGCGCGCTAGCATGAATGCGCGCTAGCATGAATGCGCACTAGAATGAACGAGTGTGCGCTAGAATGAATGCGCGTTGAAAATGCATGAGCGCTAGAAAACCATACGCGCAAGAGGTGTGGAGCACACAGTCCAGTAGGGGAGGCGAAAGAAGCCGTGGGAATGTGGGGGATATGGGGGAGCACACGGGGGGGGAGAGCACGGAGTGGGGTAAGGGGGGAGCATA